CCAAACCGAAGCAGCGGGTTTTCTTAGGGGGCCACACTCAGAGCCTTCGGCCCAAAGGTCCAATCTATAAGGCAGTGGGGCAACGTAAGGAGATGCAGTCACATGTTAGTTGGAGACCAACGATTGGTCCATACAGCCTTTGTTCCTCAAGGATCCTGGAGCCCATGTATACCATTGGTTTGGAATGAGGGCTTTCTAGCCCCCCCCCTAGATGGATCCTCCATATCTAACAGCCCGGTTAAAGTACCGAGCATTTGATTTTCGTCCTCTCAACTTCGTAAACTCCCGTGGTTCGAGAAGGAAGAGGCTAGGACTACCCTGGCAGTGGTTGCATGCACGTAGCCATGTGACAGCATTTGGAGAGGGAGATCTGACTCTTCCCACTCTCAGCCGTACCAGGACATTTTCTAATGTTTATCGACTTACCTATCTTAGCTATTAGAAGACATTTATACAAATTTGGGATTTCTCTTTCGTTGAATGCATAAAACAATTATAATTCCTCGAACTAATGTAAGTGAATATGTTTTAGTTAAGTATCTATTTGTTGTTTATTTTACCAACTGTGTAGCTAACTTTGACAGCTCTTATTATAGCTCTGTCAACATGGTGTTATGCAAGATATCCTGGAATTCAAGACATGTTGGGAATTAGTAAGCATGTAATTTTTAAAATCAATATAGTACTGATATAATGAAGTATGAGTAGATCAGAATTCGTGTACGTTAAAAGAAATTTGAAGTAAGTTATAATCATCAACTGTCAGAAAATCCTTACGCATAATAGTAACTATCCTTTCACCACAATAGTAAAACAACTTAATATACGTTCTCCTGAATTCTAGTTAACAAAATCCAAATTAAGACAAACATATTGGGAAACTTACCTTGATAAAACGAATTCTACCGCATATATCTTATGTGCTCATATGTTCACATATAGATACACACCAAACGTCTCTCGGAAAATAAGCTAAAACTGTTCTGTTACAATGTACGATTTAAAGTTTTCAATGAGTTGCTAGATGGTTACCGAAAAATATTTAAGGTATTTGTACGAAATAATGATTTCATTCTACGTGACTGCTCACTGACTAAACCTTCTCTACGTTTGTTTATTTTTTTAACCAACTTTATATCCCTCTTTTATACATGTTCTAAGAAATTTATATCTCTCTTCAGAGATGCATATGTTCAGTAGCCCGATATATGATTTCAGTTAGATCCCATAACGTTTATTATCAAAATAAACATGCAAACAATCTACGAATACATTTAACAGCTGCAGTAAATGTTTTCTGAACCACCTTTATAACCTTTGTATTAATACTTTCTCAGTAGTGTCATTTAGAAACTGTGAATTCAAGTACACTAACTCCTTTGAAATAGTTGTTGTATTCGGTCTTATTTTTATTGAATTTTTTTAGAGGCGCGATATTTGACGCCAGTTAAATCTCATAATGTTTGTTATCAAAATATACATGCCAACAATCATCGAATACATTTTACAGCTTAATTAGCGTTACAGAATAACGTGGTAAAATAAGTCAAAAACAATAATGAAGTTTGAATACACATATTTCATACATTCATTGATCTGGACAGACAATCGAAGTGGAGAAAGTGAAGCGAAATGAAGTGACTCGCAGTGGAGAAGGCCAGCGAACCAACTCCATTTGATGATCAAGTGTGACTCAATACTCATTTTCAAATAAAAATAGGGCAAGCAATCGACATCCATATGATCATATGAAAACAATCATGATTATTAAGTGAATAATTGACAAGCTCAAAATATGGCTTGAGAATAATGAATACACTGTGCTGTCCAGAAGCTAGAGTAAACTATTTGGGCTTAACGCAGTACCAGTCACTAAAACGCCTTCTTGGTCCAAACCGCACAATCCTGAAGGCCGAAACGGGTTCTTCAAAAGCTTCAGACGTCATGTCGTTGATTCTTACGATACGACGAGTCAGGATAAATAACGATCAGACTGCCACATGACATTGTATTGGCACTGGGTCTTAATCACTTAATCCCCAAAGCTGAATGCCGGACAATTGGGAGAATAGATATTCAACATTTAACGAGGAGAAAAACCCAACTATGAGAAGACGGGAACGATAAATTGGATTAATCCGAATTAATCGGGTAGCATGCTTCAGCCTCGTAAGCATGGTCGCTCTCTACAACTTAATTTTACTCATACTAAATATATTGTTCTATCTACAGTCTAAATGTGTTCTTCATCATATATTGGTGATTGTTACGACGCGATGAGTTGGTGTAGATAATGATGTGACTTCCACGTAAGGTCTTATGGATTTTTCTATCATTCTAGCAGTACTGATAGTGAACTTAGACCATAATTCTAAAGACTCATACTATTTGATGTTGTTAGATAGCTTTCTGTGGTGATTGCTGGAAAAAGTATATAACAAAGGACTTAAGTTATTTGCGTCCCATAGGTTCTGACATTCACATTATGATGTTTGGACAGGCTCACTTTGTGATCGTTTGGCTTCTCCCTACTTTCTGTCTTCATTATACCTTTTCGTAGCTCAAGTGAATTTCACTGGCCCTTTATGGAACTTCTAATTTCAATGACTGAATATGTTATCACAGTTGTTGACAAACGTAGGCAAAAATTAATATCAAATTGCACTAAAAGTTTAAAGACCAAAGAAGCATAACATAAATTTCTTATCAACCCTGGGACGTATGTATTTGATCATTCAGTATGCCTTACAAACACGCAACTGGAAGCTCTTTATTTAAAGATAAGATTCTGTGACAATTAGATTTTCCCCGTAAATTATGACATGGAAGGAAAGTCTTTTAAAACGCACTCTGAACCTTAAGAGAGTTCTTACCTAAAGTGTAGTCATTTGACTAAAAGTGTTCCATGTAGTCTTAACTTCACCTATATTGTAGCGTTATTGAAGAAGCTGCAAATTTTTCGGTCGTCTTCAGTGAGCTGATATCTCACAACAGACCTGGTTGAACTCCACTGGTAACGGCTTCCCACTAGAACTCCAGGAGTATCTCTTGAAGTCAGTCACTAGTAGTGGAGTTCAACCAGGTCTGTTGTGAGATATCAGCTCACTGAAGACAATGGTATATGGTGGCGCAACTTCGTGGATTGGTTGAAGTTAGACAATTACACCGTTGGATGCCGGCTCAGTGGTCTAACGGTTTAGTGCTCGCGCGAGAAACAAGTAGGTCCTGGGTTCGAATCCCGGGGGTGCATGATCGTGGATGCGCACTGCTGAGGAGTCCCATACTAGGACGAAACGGCCTTCCAATGCTTCCAGGTCTTCCATGGCGGTCTAGCTTCAACTGACTCATGATTTCAATCTGTGAGATTTCTAAAATCTCCACCAACCCCTTCTGATATAACGGGGTTCGTCAAAAATATGGAATTATTTTGTTATATCGGGCCGTTTGCTCAAAGTATTCAATTGACTTATTTCAGCCCATTACTATGATTGCGTATTCCATTCGGGATTAAGCTGCCCATCGAACACACTTTTTATCGGTTTGTTCAACCCTACAAACCGTTGAGGAACATAGTATTTTATCCTTTCCATTAAGACTAGAATATCTTAGTGTTTAAAGACGAGGTACAAAGTCAGCTCATGGCCAAAAGATCATACCATGAGAAAAGTACAAAATAAATGAATCTACACCTTATAGAATACAGGGTTTTAAGAGGTGAAATCGTAATGACCTAGAGCATCATAACTGTATCTGAGACTGATTTTAAACAACTTCTCGAGTTCAATCCGAACACAAACCTATATAAAAGTAATAGTATAGCACAACACACTCGATTATAGGAGCGCCTGTAGAAGTATGGTCTACTATAATATTAATACCGCTCTAATAATAGACTTAATCATAAAATTGTAGATTTGTCATGGTGTAACTGTCTAGTCTATCAGCTCTTACATGGAGGTCACACCATTATCTACACCAACTCATCGCGTCGTAACAATCACCAATATATGATGAAGAACACATTTAGACTGTAGATAGAACAATATATTTAGTATGAGTAAAATTAAGTTGTAGAGAGCGACCATGCTTACGAGGCTGAAGCATGCTACCCGATTAATTCGGATTAATCCAATTTATCGTTCCCGTCTTCTCATAGTTGGGTTTTTCTCCTCGTTAAATGTTGAATATCTATTTCACTTATTCACTCGTGTTAGTGGCTTATGCCACTGCACGCATTCTGCTTTTTATATGTAGTCATGTTTTCAAAGCTTACACCAAATTGCATCAAGCTTTTCTACTGAAACCTTTATTGTTTCCAAAGGACTCAGAGTCAACGTCCTTTTATAATTTACCAATCTTTCTTTTATTCCTGCTTGTTTCAAATGCTTTACTTCCTGTCTGAATCCATCGGTATCAGAAACGAGCTAGTTAGGCGAAAGTTTCATTCATCCTGTTGAAAAACTGTTGAACCGTTCGGTCATTTGGCTTACTGTTATGTGCTACTTTACAAGACTACTATAATCGCCATAGATCAGGTTCGCCGATAAGATCCGAAAATGTCGGTGTTCGAGCATAGCCTAAGGGTACGTACAGTACTAGTCCCAAGATCATCTCATGTGAAAGAATCTAAAGGAAAGAAAAGCATGTAAAAGAGTAGTCCGTAGACTCAGTAATCATATAGCACGCATGTTTATTTAACAATCAAAGCAATCAATAATAATTTAAAATTACAAAGACATGAAGTTAAGGCGCTTTATCCACCAAGCTCAGAAGTTATTGGAGTAGGATTTCGAATTCATTACTTATATTCTTATGACTAGATACCTAGGTTCCTACCTGGAGGTATTGGTGATCCACTGCCAATAGGTACGGAAGCCCGTTAAGCGAAAGCTTCTTTTATTCTGTTCACAATCATTTGAACCATTTGAAGGTTTCCAAAGAATGTAGATTGGATATTGGAGGTGCGAAGCGGCTAATTGTAAACTTGACAGGTTGGCGCGATGGTGAGTTGTCTTTTATTTAGCATCCAAAAATTAAGGTTCTGTTGGCTGCCTCTGTGTGTACTCGTGATGGTAAAGGTATGCTCATAGTGTGGATTTGCATTTAATCTATTAAGCTCTGGTGTCTCGACAGTTTGTGGAAATGACAAAGGCAAGAATTGAAGGATTAATAGCAACATTTCCAAAGCTTCTTGGGACAGGTTAGTTTTCACTTTTTATTTCTCGAAGACTCACAGTTCTTGTTCTTATGTTGTATTCAATAAATGTAAGGTGGTTCCTTTATTTAAGCTTCAAGTGTGCTTAGTTAGACCTATGTCATATAATTTAACCGTTTTCTGGTTGTTATGCAAATATTGTCAGTCAGTTATTAAATGCAATTATCTACGTACACAGTTAAGTGTGTTGTTGTTCAGTGATTGAAAATGCTTGACTTAAAATCACCTATTAGGTGATTTACTTATTTATACGAAAGGTTTTTGCAGAACACGACTTATGGTTCTAGTTGGTGTACTAATCTGGCTTGGCCTAATCGCTTTTCTTGTAAATAGAAAACTAACGTAAAGTATCGTCTGAGATGCTTTGCCTAACAAAACTCAGCTAATAATTCACTTGTTCAGTATATTCCTTTATTGATATATCTGGATTTGTGATCGTATGAGCCAGGTGTACGGTGATGAATCAACACTTATTTCTAATTAGTTCATCTTATCGGGAATGTAAACGTGTAAATTCTCAAAGTTTTTATTAACATACCTGTTACGCTAGTGGAGTGGAATTTATAAACTGTAGTTGTCAGCTGAAAATAGATTTTTCGTATTGTCTTATTTCCCATATATAGTGTTGACTCAGTATTCGCACTGAGGAAACGTGGTTTCAGGCCTGAGGAAATTTCCCCTCATGAAACCCTACGATATTTGTATATCTAAATCATGGATATATCAGATTTTTAGCTCGCCAGGACCGTTATTGCCTATATTTTTTGCTTCCTAGGTAAACAACATACATTTGTGGAAACAGAATCTGTGCGGTATGTTTACCAACCTTTGGAAAAATTGTATGTTCTTCTGATAACTACCAAAGCTAGCAATATACTCGAAGATTTGGAGACATTACGGCTCTTTGCACGTGTGGTACGTTTAGGAAATATTCTCACTGATAATTCTATTTTTAATGTTCTCTTTAATTATATATTTTTTTCTTGTACATATAGATACCGGAGTATGCTTGTGGTACCGATGAAAACGATGTACTGACACATGCTTTCCAACTGATTTTCGCATTTGATGAAATCATAGCTCTAGGCTATAGAGAAGATGTCAACCTGTCACAAATTCGAACATATACGGAAATGGACTCACACGATGAACGCGTGTTCCGTGCTGTACAGGAGGTATGTTCTCAACCACTACGTCTGGGGATATTTCTGTTTATTAAAAAATTATTTTGAGCTTTACATTGTCACAAATTCGTCTATTCTTTCACTTTTGTACTGGTAATGTCACTAAGGTTCACATTCCTCCGTTGAATTCGGAGACATACTTTAGCTAGTGATTTTGTTTTTGATTTTTCTAATCTTTTTCGAACTCATTTTCATGTGTTGCTTTTTAGAACAAAGAACGTGATGCTAAAGAGCAAATGAAACAGAGAGCACGTGAACTACAACAAGCCCGACTAGAAGCTGGAAAACGCTCAGGTGGTATGAATCTTTCAGGATTCTCTAATTATCGTGGTGGGAAAGGAATGGGTGGTCTGTCGAATGATTTAAGTAAGCTTTCCTGTATTTATTTGGATTGTAATGGAAGTAAAATATTGTCTACTAATATGTCGAAATTTTAAGGTGGTAACATTTCTCATATTTCTGTAAGTGGTTTATCCACTTACCGTATGATTTTCTTACATATTTTTTTTATTCGTAGCATCTTTTTCGTGTTGTTTGCGCGACTCGCTTTACAAGTACAAGTTAGTGTACTTGTTTACAAGTTCTTTTTGTGAGAGGTTATTAAATTATGTGCTCAAACCAGATTACATGGTGCGGGGTTTGAACCTACTGAGTATTGATTTGAAGCTGGGTACTGCCCTAACTTCTTACTGCACCGTACTTTATGTGCGTTACAAATTGGTAGTTAATTAGAATGCAAGGTTTGATGAGAATATTTACACTTAACTGCAGAATTTGCATGCAAGATATTATAAGCTTGTAAAATCTACTATCTGAAAATTGCGACCAGTTACTTAATTGATATTCATCAGCTTATCATTTGCGAAGTGGCCACTGTTTTATGATATTAAAAGTGCTAATTTATTCAGCGAAGACAGTTATTGCTAATACTGGGCATTAATATACAGAATAGTTCATCATTGCACATTTTTGATATGAAGGAAAGCAGCTAGTAAACTCGTTAAGCATTTAATGTGCCGGTTGAATACTTTCAGGCCAAGTATTTATCATAGTACGACTGAACGGGTTAGAAATTCTCGTAAGCGCTAAGGTGTCATGGGATGTTTCGAATTTTGCGTTTTATTATTTTATTTATTTATTTGAACACAAATATTGGTACAAGTGGGCACCAAATACACAATAACAATGAGGTCAGTGACAGTTATCACTGATATGCGTGAGGGCTGTCATACTTCCCAAACCGAAGCAGTTGGTTTACGTAGGGATCACACCTGGAGCCTTTGACCTGGAGGTCTAATCCACAAGGAATTGGAGCAACGTTAGTAGATGCAGTCACATGGTAGTCGGTGGCCAGCAATAGGTTCATACGCCATTTGTTCCCTCAGGATCCTGGAGCTCATGTGCACCATTGGTTTGCAATCAAGATTTTCCAACTCCCTTAGGTGGATCCTCCATATCTACTAACCCAGTTAAAGCACCAAACATTCACTTTTCGTCCTCTCGATTTCGTAAACAACACCTGTAGTTCTAGAAGGCAGTGAGTGGGACTTGCGTGACCGTGCTTGTATACGCGTGTCTATGTGGGAGCATTTAGAGAGGGAGAGCCGACTCTCCTCACCCTCGACCATATCAGGGCATTTCGGGGCTATATTATATAAGCATTTAAAGCCATGTTAGGTTTTGTCACATATTTTCTTTTTGCTAAAATTTTTAAATGTAACATAGTACACCATTTACCTGTTTGTGAGGTTTGTCGAGTTATTAAATTCAACTGTGAAGTTTTTAAAATAGAAAAAACAGTTCTCATGGCTGATTTCCATGTGTATGTTCCTACCGTGTTATCAATAGATGAACCTCGTGTAATCGTCATGAAAGATCGTTTGGGAGATGGGAATACGGATGTTCAAAGTTTGCCTACTACAAACCCAGCAACTATCTTAGCATCAGTGAAACGAAGTGGTATGCAACTTGGTGGTGGCCAGGGTGGTTTAAAAAGCATTGATCAGTTTGTGAATCGTCTAAAAGCCGAAGGTGAAGTGGTCAACGAAGATGTTATGAATTTAGTTAACGGATCAGACGGAGCAGATAACGTAATGAGTACTAACTCAACTTCTGCTTCAACTCAAAAATCTCATGTTAAAAAAGAAAAGTAAGTCGTATGCTTTAGAGTCTAAAAAGATTTATTCTGTCGAATAAACATGTTAATAGTTCAAAGAAAAGTAAACATTGATTTATATCCATTTTCTGCATGCATTATTATAAAAGTATTAATATCTTACAAGTACAATCAAGCTGGCATTTAAGTATATTCATTCCTCTATAAAGCATAGAGGACCTGGAACAAACGTACAACAGTCTGACTTATCTCACCTTATACCGGTACACTTCAAGAAGACTAATTATATATCTTGTAATAATAGTGGTGAACATTTGGGAAGCAAACAAAATCGTAAAACACAGAGTACAGAACTATGTTATATTCTAGATTTAGGATAAGATTAGAACAAAATGCAAATTACTGCAACCGAATTTGAAACATGCTATCCAGTTTCTTCATTTATAGATTATGGACATTTAAGTAATATCAGCCAAACAGTTAACATCATCCAATACCACACAGACCAACTGTCAGTGACTTCATTAATTGATGCTACATCTTGGTTTGATCTTTTTTCTCGAATATCTGTGGCAGCAACTAGGTACTCAATGAAATAATTATGCACTTGTAGATATCGGAGCTCTTAGATGTGGGATACAAATAGATGACAAAATAGTAACTCACGATTAGTTTTAGTTGTATCCTAAAATATTTTACTGTAAGCATTATGATACATTACAACTTACAAGAGAATTCCTGCGTAAAGCTTCACTTGATTGTCACAACTATGATTCCTAAAATTTCTTGGCTTGTGTATCAGCCTTAACTGTGAAGAAGCATGAATTTTTGTTCAATACCTACCACTAAGTAATCGTCTATTGTCTACAATCTTTATATTATAGGTCCATAGCTAAGCTGAATCGTTTCAGTAGTAGTATGGCTTAATATTTTTTATTTGCATTTTGAAAGTCATTTTTTCAACCATAAGTTTGTACATTTCGGTAGCAAGTAATCGATGTGTTTTTTCACCTACACATTGTTTTTTTAGTCTGCATTTACGAATTGAGGAGAAGTTAATCGTTCAAGCTGGTCGTGATGGTGGTTTAGAAAGTATGGAGTTGCAAGGTACAATGTTTGCACAAGCTATCACAAATGAAGCTTGTGAAGCGAAAATCCGAGTGGATACAAGTATGTGTACAAATCCGCCCAATGAACATCGGCCACCTGTTCAACTTCAAACACATCCTAATATTGATAAGAAAACTTTCATGGTGAGTTCTTCTTTCTTTATAATACTCAAATAGTATTTCAATGTAAACGACTTGGTACTATGGTAAATTATGCTTGAAGATATGGATTTACTTTGCATGGGATGGTAAACATATTTTTTTCACAAAAACCATTCAGTTGTTGATTGATTTGAAGTACACGATTGTAGACTATCGATGGTGGTCACTCACTTTAGTCCATCAACCTAGAGGTTTCATCATTACATTCTGTTGTAAGTTTGGATTTGACGAGTAAGTGAGTTTTGAATTGTTACGGTGAATGAATATAATGCCGATCGCTAGAAGTTATGCAATGATATTATGTACCCAAATGACAACTGCTCACGAGATCGAATTATTGAAGTAAGATGCAAGTGAAAACAAGACAGTTGCTTTGTAGTATAGCTATTCTGTATGATAAAATAACTTATCTACGAAATATTGGCACAGAACAAACGTGGTTAAATATCATAAATGGTTGGAAAACATCAGTTTTGAAAGTCATCCACTCTCTAATGAGTTAGAGGCTTCCAAACTAAATTTGATTAACTCATGAGCTGCAATGTCCTACAGTTAGCACCTCATCACGGAACCAATAATTTGATATCCATGTGTTTAAATTCTTCATACTGGCTAATGGGGAGTTGTTGACTAGTTTAACATTTCCTGTCAAGTGATTCAATAAAAGATTTATGAAACATAAACACGTTAAATAGCACTATATCTGTTCCTTGTTCATTTGTAATTATGGGTGTGCTTTCTTGCATATTCATACTGTGATTCATTGTTTCGACTAGTCTAGTTAAATTATTTTAATCATATTTACAAATAAAAAGTGGTTTGATGGGGGTCTATGTTCTATAGCTTGTATTATAAACGTGATTTGTGTCGTATATTTATCTAAACGCGTAAATATTGGTACAAAGGGACCAAAATATTTATACAACACACAAATCATTGAGTTAGTGTATGAACTAGAATACTGCCCGGTTGAGCGATTAGAAGCAGGTGGTTTTCTAAGAAACTCACTCACCGAGCCTTTGACCTAGAGGTCTAATCCATAAGGCAATGGAGCAACGTTAGGAGATGCGGTCTCATAGTAACCGGTGACGGACTGTAGGCTCATACGCCATTTATCCAATCAGCCCATGTGCTGCACCACTGGTTTATAATAGGGGTTTTCCAACTCCCCTAGGTGAACTCTCCGTATCCATCAACCGGTTTTAAACCTTCGTCGGACATTTGCCTTTGTCCTCTCAATTTGATAAAAAAAACTTCGGGTATGAAAAGGCAGTCAGTAAGACTTCCCTGGAAGTAGCTGTATATGGGTGGGGATGTGAGAGTATTTAGAGAAGAGCGGAGTCCCACCACCCTCGGCTGTACCGGGGCAATTCCTGGATCAGATTAAGGACATTCAACTCAGCAACGGCGAGCCGATGATATCCTTCGATGTAACAGCCTTATTTACCTCAATTGAACCAAGCTTAGCAAAAGAAACTGTATCCCTGCTTCTCACCAACGAAACAAATCTCACATAGTATACGAAACCTTAAAGTCAAAGTTTACTAGGACTCATCGACTTATGCTTAACGTATTTTCAATTCAAAATCTACGAAAAAACCAAAGGAACACTGATGGGGCCACCAATATCAGGACTTATTGCAGAAGCAGTGATGCAGAGACTGGAAGCCTCGATCTTACCAGTGATCAAGTTAAAAATTTGGATTCGTCATGCAGACGACACATCATCTTCAAAAAAGACAGGCTGGAAAACACCTAAAATCTGATCAACAGCGTCTTCGATGACATTTAGTTCACAATGGAACAGAAATCGAACAACAAACTATCATTTTTGGGTATATTAATCACCAAAACTGACACGGGAAAACTGGCAACTCAAATACATCGGAAGCCACACAGATCAACTTCTCAATTACAGTAGCAGCAAACCAAGAGCCCACAAAATCAACTGTGTACAAACTATGTTCAAGAGGGCGAGGACATACTGCAGCACACTTGCAGCGCGGAAAAATGAAGAAAAATACATGATGATCATCTTTCAAAAGAACGGCTAACCAATCGACTTCACTAAAAAATACCAGCTGCACGCATCATCAAAAATAAGGTCGAGTACAGAAATCAACAAACAGATCACCCTACCATACATAAAAGACACATCAGTAACTACAACGAGACTGCTGAAACCCTTCACAATAGGTGTCGCATACAAACCAACAAGATCACTTCGATAAATCCAATGCAAACAAAAGGACAAAACGACAAAATAAGAAAAACCGAACATCTTCTACAAAATAAATTGTTTCAACTGCGACAAACTACATCGGACAAGGCGGACGCCCCCTTCATCTTCATCTGCATGAACATCGATTAGCGGTCGAACGCCATGACACATCCTTCCTTATATCGATGCATGTGGACACATTCGACTGGGAAAATGTTGAAATCTTGGATAGAGGCAATTCTAAAAACACCAGAGAATTTTTAGAAGCATGGCACTCAGGCCAATCAGCAATCAACAAACACATTGGAATCGATCCAATTTATCAACCAATCAGAAAAATTGTGAACAAATATACGACCAACAATTAAATCGATGAGAGATACAACCAAAATAAAGAAGTAAACAATGACAGGTTAAAGGTCAACAAACGAGGTCTACAGGACAAGGGTGAGCCATATTTGGAGAAGTTCGAACACTTCACTTCTACCTGAAGTTTATGTTGATGTCCAGAATAACGATAAAAGCTCCATGACCGAGCTGTCCAGCTCAGAGAACAAAACTCTATCACAAGCAATCATATTTAGGAATAAGATACCTATTCTTTACGATAATTCAATGAGAAGACAAAGTTTACCAGAATTATATGATATATTTGCGCAATACATTTCGAACAATCTGATCACACATATACTTGTTAAGGCATTTTTATATGAAATTTAAAGGTCAACTAGACAGGTTAAAGGCAAATTAGTTTGTGGGTTGTAACGTACAAATTAGAAGTCTACGACTGGTGTATGAATTCGCCCACGAACGCTTTGGTGAAGTTGGTAATATTTGTGATTTTGGTTAGTTTAGATATTCGAATAAATTCCTCAATAAACTAATGAATTTGTAGTGGCTGGTACTTCGTTAAGCCCAAATAGTTTACTCTAGCTTCTAGACAGGACAATGTACTCATTATATTCAAGCCATATTTTGAGCTTGTCAATTATTCACTTAATAATCATGATTGTTTTCATATGATCATGTGGATGTTGATTGCTTGCCCCATTCATCACGTATCTGTAACTTATTTTTATCTGAATATGAATATTGAGTCACACTTGATCATCAAATTGAGTTGGTTCGCTGGCCTTCTCCACTGCGAGTCACTTCATTTCGCTTCACTTTCTCCACTTCGATTGTCTGTCCAGATCAATGAATGTATGAAATATGTGTATTCAAACTTCATTATTGTGTTTGACTTATTTTACCACGTTATTCTGTAACGCTAATTAAGCTGTAAAATGTATTCGATGATTGTTGGCATGTATATTTTGATAACAAACATTATGAGATTTAACTGGAGTCAAATATCGCGCCTCTAAAAAAATTCAATAAACATAAGACCGAATACAACAACTATTTCAAAGGAGTTAGTGTACTTGAATTCACAGTTTCTAAATGACGCTACTGAGAAAGTATTAATACGAAGTTTATAAAGGTGGTTCAGAAAACATTTACTGCAGCCAAAACTGAATGCGATTTCCTACATTCGTCTGATAATGAGAACCACTAATAAAAACATGCTACCTGAATTCATTACATCCATATGTGTTTATTAATTTAACTGCTCCTGTGGAGCCAGTTTTATAGGGTGTACAATCCGGCAAGTCCATCATCGTATATCAGAGTACCATCCCTTTTGGTTGAACAATGGACAGTTTAATGTGATTGAGACTTCTGCTCTAGCTGAATTGGTGGGACATACGATCATATGTTGACCTGAATAAAGCTTTGGAAGTTATCTATCATCAAATTTACCATATAGTTTACGAGTTCGTACTTAACATATTGCTGAAGCTATCAGTTGTTGGGAAACGGATACTAGGTAAGGATGGCAAACCAATTGATGAAGTGATTAAACTTCACCAGTTGAGATGGTTGGAACATGCGTTACGTATGCCCAACCACTGACTGCCCCGACATGCAATGTTTTATGGTGTAGGAGTAGGTTGGAAGGAAGCTAGGGGCGGCCGGACCAAAATATGGCACAAATCCATGAAGTCACTGACAAGTGGACTGAGCCATGTTGGTAGGTGTAAACGACCTGGTTGGGATCCGCAAGACGATAGAAACCGATGGTTAGAGACCTTGAATGACATGGCACAAAATCGGTTGCAATGGTGCAGGTGCATCCACTCTTTGTGCTCTCCCAAATTCTAATCTTCTGAATTCTTCATATTCCTTTATTTCTCTTTACAAATTTATTTCACAGTATTGTACTCCTTGAAAAACATCTTTCGGATTACTGCTTATAATTTTACTACCTCTACCACTATCTCTGCTAATGTGGTATGGCAACTCGAACTGATATACGTACGTACGTACGTACGAAGTTCGACGTTGTTTCTGACTGACTGAATCTATCAGAATTTATATTCATAAACCTAACCTTTGTACTGAAAAGAAGTTTGTACACCCATTCTCTCTCCTTTGGTCATTGATATAGGACTGTCTTTTAGCTGAACGTTGATTAAATGCCATTCAACGAATTATCTAATATGTTTCACTTTGTGTCATGTATGATTTCTATATAACTACTGTACAATTGACTTCCTGTTAAAATAGTTTTTAATTCTCTTATCAAATATTATGTAAGGCCCCAAATGGCCGAGAGTGGAGTAGGCCCTCTCTCCCTCTCGAAATGCTCTCACACGGCCACGCGTATACAGCCTCTGCCAAGGAAGTCCTACTCACTGCCTTCTCACACCACGGGGGTGTTGTTTATGAAAATGAGAGGACGAAAAGCGAATGTCCGGAGCTTTAACCGGATCTCGAACTAATGGTGCACATGGACTCCAGGATCCTGATGGAACAAAGGGTGTATGGATCAATCGTTGGTCACCGGCTACCATGGGACTGCGTCTCCCCACGGTACTCCACTGACTTGTGGATCAGACCTTAAGGTCAAAGACTCGGGGTGTAGCCCCCTAAGAAAACCACCTGTTTCGGTTTGGGCACCCGGGCAGTATCACAGCCCTCACACAAATCGAATGATTTATGTGGTGCATATCTATTTGGTGCCTCCTTATATCAATGTTTATGTGTTTAAATAAATTAATAAATAAAGTATTATGTAAAATGTAGTTAATGTTGAATTACATAATTCCTAATGTTTGGAATCATTTTACAAAATGTTTAAATGGGAATTTTCAACAAACTTATATTTGATTAATCATTTGAATGATTAGCTTTAAATGTTAAATTAGCCGAGTAGTATATTATCATTAATAAAGGTTTGCATTATCCCATTATTAATAGTTGGACTGAATTTCAATCAGTCTTTAGTGGTTTATGTGCATTCTTTGCGGGTAACCTCAATATAGTCATTTTCTCACAAATTTTGTAAAATAAGTGGATTATATCTAGCACAGGGATATAAGTCATGTGTTTCGTTCCATTTGAGACTTGTCAGCCGGATGTGTGTGCATCTCAGTGTCGATATTTACACATTTGGCCTCAGATCCAATACCTATCTTTTCGAACGCTGACGTGTTATCTACTGACCTACTAAGTTCAGGTAGTCACGAACATGTTCAACTGGTATGATTTTCATATGATTACTAATAAGAGTTTAAATGCTCTCGTTTGTTGATATTGTTAGACTGGATTTCGATCTACCTAAGGTGCGTGATTCAACTCCCACCCAATGTGGATATTAAAACTGAATTACAAAACAGAACTAAAATAGCCACTGGGATCTTAAAGTTTACATATTGTTGATTAAGTTTTCAAGATGTTAATTTTTGCTCATTAAAATGTCTCTTAATTATTCTCAAATTTTTGTTTAGTCCACTGGTTGGATTCAAATCAAACCAGGAGGTAAACCATTTCCAAATGGTCAAGAAGTTGGTATATTAAGATGGAGATTTCAAACTTCCGATGAAGCTGCTCTTCCTATAACTGGTAAGCTATTGTATATTTACTCCATAACTGTGTTAGATCAATAAACTAACTGATAAAATGCATATGACTTCGTTCAAAGTTTTCTCTATCACTCTCATATAAAACGTCCATTTGTGTTTATAGGTATCATTATCAATGTTTAACTTGATAATTTCGAATAAATTGAGGATTCGGTAGAGTGTTATAAATGAATTAATATATTTGTAATATCCCAATGAATATAAAAATTAGATTTTTTGACGTTTCGTGACTTAGTGTAAGCCACTTCTTCAGAGAATAAATAGATAACCAAATCAAAATTAATCCAAGTTTAAATAGTAAAATGGAACAACAAAAATAAATCAGCAATAGCAGTTCACGCCATTTTCAACGACCGTCAAATCAATTTCAAAAATATTACAAAAAGGGTTTTTTCCAATTACAAAGAAAAGTGAGTAGCCAAAGCTTTTCATATAATGCTTAATTCTACCTCCCTCAATAGAAAAGAAGGCCTTACCATCTATCGTATTTAGATATTATTCACAATTCACTCTATTATCTTACAAATTAGACTCTATCCTTTCTCACCATAAAGGTCACACATTTTTCATCCTTAACAGTGTATACTTACATATACACAAATTTACATACATGTCGCTTATGAATCACCTTGATTGAGATGACATGACATTGATTTATTCAGACCTGTTTTTTGATTGATCACATAATATTGTTGTGTTGTTCCGTTTTACTATTCAATGGTGGATGGTAAGTCAGTTGATGAGGTTGTGAATCTTCATCCACTGAGATGATTGGGCCACGTGTTGCGTATGCCTGAACACTGATTACCAGGACGCGCAATGCTAACCGGTGTTGAGGATGGTTGTAAGAAAGTTAGGGGCGGTCAACCGAAAACGTGGCATCAGCTCTTGAAGTCGCTAACTTGTAGTTTAAGACATGTTGGGAAATGCACACTAATTGGTTGGGATCCGTGTAACTATCGTAATCAATAGATGGAGACTTTGGATGACATGGCTCAGAATCAATCACAATGGCGTAGGCGTATACACTGTCTATCTTCCCTTAAACTAAGAGATTAAAATCGCTTCATATCTTTCTTTCTATGAACTAATTCTTCCAGTACTATATCCTTATATACAATCTTCCTTTTATATATTACCACCGTTAAATTAACTAGTCCTATGAATTTGATGTTCATCTTGTTGTGTTAATGAGGTGTGACAACTTTGACCGATGCATGTATGTGCCTGGTCCTACGTTGTAGCTGACTGACTGACTATTTAAACTTGTCTATTTGTTTAGTCAGTTATTCCACTTCGAGAAAAGTTTTAAGATCGTAGGTAATGTGATATAAAATCAGTTTGTCGGAAACTGAAACATTATCTATTGTTTTATAAGTCAGTGTTTCAAATTATACAACCTTAAATCTTCGCCAGAACACTTTTATAAACTTATGTAAGTGAAGAGCTCAGTGGTGTTTAGCTTTAAAATCAGCTAGGGTTTCAGTATGTCTAAATATCGTTCTGTCTTCTTTGGTTTGGTTAATCGGGTACGACTTAAACCTTAGTACATAAATAAGTCTTATCAAATTCTAAAATTATGTTGAACATATTCAAACTTTTCTCTACCTAATAAATGACAGTGATAAGAAATTCCATACAAATTATAGATTCGTGTACACTCAGCTTTGGACACGTGTATTTAGGAGATTGGTGATATCTCCCGGTAACTTAAATCATAGCAGGCGGAGTAAGGTTTAGAGCTGTTTGAAAACCGAATATTTTAAGAATTAAACCATTGCTCTGCCTACTTCAGTTTTGGGATATAGACAGCGTCTGCTGTTGGTGGAGTTTTGTTCTCCGTCAAAATGATCCACCTGAGCTACAAATCTCCACCATCTCAAAAGCGTCTGTTGTGTTTTTTTTTTCCACAAAGAATTGCATTGTACACTGTAACTGTATTCGTACTTAGGATTTTTTTACTGTCTTCATTCTAGTTAATTGTTGGCCAAATGAAATACCCGGTGGCTTTGAAGTAAATGTTGAATATGAACTACAAGATTCTGTATTAGAACTGGAGAATTTAGTTATGTCAATCCCATTGCCGTAAGTTAGTTTTATGGACCACTAAACACATCTTTGGTAAAGACGTTCTTGTTCTAATAAACCGTATTGGATAATTTGATCAGTCAAGTCTATCAAGTTTATCAGTTGATTATTGATCCAGTTGATAATGGAATAAAATTATTTCCTTGAAATATGCTCCTCATACGTGAACATGAAATGTTGTGTTATGAACTGATCTGTATGTTTTTCTAGTTTTAAAGTATGTGTGGTAAGATTGTTGATCTTGTCAATCATTTCACTAATTTTATGAGTGTCTCATTAAACTTATTGAATTGACAACTGACTCAATCTTGAAACAAATACAAGGAACAGTACTATTTGCATTTACTAAATTATTTTACGTTTGGTGTGGATGTGATTTCTGTCTGCTGGTATCAAAGCAAGTTTACTGCTCAGTATATTGTCGTTTATTTCTCCACGAATATGAAGTTTGGCGTTTGATAGAGAATTCCAGTTGTAGTTGACGATAATTGTCTTTGAAGCATTACTCATTTACAGTGGAACAAGAAAGTTATCGGTACGAATGTTAAAACCATAGTAATAGTTGTCTTTTGAAGCGGTGAATCTTCCTCATCTAGAATGGTTCGGGTGTGTGTTACGTATCGCGTACCACAGTATATTTCGACTTGCATTGTTAGCTAATGTAGTAGTTTAGAAGAAAAGTAGGAGAGCTGAAACTGAGAAGTAATATCAGTCCACATAGTCATTGACTGTTTGACTGAACCATGTTGTTAAATGGAGATCATCTGGTCGAGCTCCGCGCAATTATCATGACTAGTGGCTGCAGACATTGAGTGACATAGCTCAGAACCGGTCACAGTAGTTCAGACGCACTCATTACTTTATCGTCCTTTATATTTTAAGATCCAGCGTTTATTAAATCATACTTTTTGATTCTATCTTCTTGAACCATATTCTTAATATTTGGCCTCCGTAATTGTTATTACTGTTACGATTATTTTGACTTCTTTACTGTTTATCTTGTTGTGTTGATGTGCACTGTGACAGCTTGTTCCAATACACAATCGTACCTGGCTTCACACTAGTTATGAATAATTGTTTCTGTTCCATACGCCTAATCACCGATTACTTTGATGTGCTGTTCTGGTTAGCGTAAATAATAGATTGAAATAATGCCAAACTAAGATATAGGAATAGTTTATCGAGGGCTTTGAAGGATCCAAAAGGCTTTATAATTGCATATTACACATCTATGCAATAACTGTAGTCTGTTTGATGACATGATTTTAAGTCAGACACAGTGCTTTATGTACATTTGTCCTTTGTATTTTTAACCATACTATTATTTCGTGTTCTCCATTCATTAATTTTAATTTGAACTCTTACCGACATTAATATTATCTTTGTTTCCCTACTTGTCTTATTGTTAATTCATCCTGTTTTACTTAACGGCTACGAAATGTGGCCATTAACGGTAGAAGATACTTGCAAATACTAGTATTTGATCACAGACTTAGTAATATTGATCGTGTCTGCTGGGATCATCGGGTAAGTAATAGCGAGGTTAGACTCAGTATATTAGGGAATGATGGTAAACTAGTTGATGAGGTTGTAAATCTTCATCGACTGAGATGGTTGGGTCACGTGTTATTTATACTTGAGCACCGATTACAACGACGTGCAATGCTGACTAGTGTTAGAGACGGTTGGAAGATATTAATGGGCGGCCAAATTAAAACGTGACATCAGTCCTTAAAGTCATATAGGTAGATACAGACTACTTGGTTGGGGTCCGTGTGATTACCGTAACCAATGGTTGGAAACTGAGTGATATGGCTCAGAGTCCATCACAATGGCGTACTAGTATACACTCTGTCCTCCTGAGGTGTGTCAACTTGAACTGATGCATATATGTGGCTGTTCCTGCGTTGTAGATGATTGATTTACTGTTTGGTTTACTTAGAGCTGTGTTATTGTGAAATATGTAGAAGTCTGAACCGACAAACATTTGTACCGTCTTCTATGTAGTTTATTCTTTTCCATGAGTTGTAATTCAACTGATTACAAAGTACATAGACAACAATTAACTTTTCATTTCACTGTATTACTCGCCTTATTTGTTTACTTGACTTCATATAGTATTCGTTTGTATTTATTTTATTATTGAAGTCCCTCAGCTAAACCTCCGTTAATTGGTAATTGTGATGGGGAATATGAATTGAGTCCACGTAAAACTCAATTAGACTGGCGTATACCCATAGTTAATAGTGATAATTCATCTGGTTCCCTCGAGTTCACATTAAAAACAGAACGTGGTGCACAAGCAGAACAATTTTTCCCCTTGAAATTAAACTTTGGATCAAATAAATCATACTGTGGAATTCAGGTAATATATGTTTACATGTGTCTTGTATGATCTAAGAGGGATCAAACTATATCATAGTATCAGCTCATGAAGTCATTGACAATTGGATTGAAGCATGTTATAATAGGTGCAGACCGCCAGTTTGGGGTCTGAGTGATTATCGTAACCAGTGGTGTTATAGGCCCAAAATCGTTTGCAATGGTGCACATGTATCCATTCTTTGGTATCCCCTAAATTACTCCTAACTTTTGTTATCTCAGTAAATTATATTTTTTCAAATTGTGTCCTCGATGCCTAATCTCTCCTTTTATCACTTATACTGCTACTACCTATATTTTTCTGGGATTTGGCCTAATATTTCCATTTCGTTGTGCTAATGGTTGATGGCAACTTGGACTGATATACACACGTACCAAGTTCCACGTTGCGACTGACTGACGGAAAGTGTTAGAAGTTATTTAGTTAGCTTTGGTTTGGGAATATAGTTATCGTACGACTAAAATTTTCTTAACCCCAAGTTGTCTACGCAAATTATTAATTATATGTGTAGTGATGTAAAGATATTATTATAAACATTAGTACAAAGGGGGACTAAAATATATATGCGCCACAAAAATCAATAAATTATTGTGTCGGCTGGAATACTTCCCGGGTGTCCAAACCGAAGTAAGTGGTCTTCTAAGAAACCCACCCCCTGAGCCTTTGACCCAGAGGTCTACTCCATAAAACAGTGAAGGAACCGTGTTTAAGCCCTCGTTGGGCATTCGGCTTTCGTCCTCTTGCTTTGATAAATAACACCGGGTACGAGAAGGTAGTTAGTAACTCTTTCGTGCTAGTGGCTATATACACATTTGCGGAGGGAGTGTGAACTCTTCTTGCCCTCGGTCACACCAGGGCATTTAGCTAATAATGATTAGGGTAGTAAGTACATTGTAAAAATGTATTTCAATGACTACTGCTGTTTCCTCATTGGAAACATTTTACTTCATGTCATGAACAAGTATGAGTTTGCTTTGCTCATGAATTGTAACTACTGAATAGCTAATAGGTTGTATATTTCTTTGTATACAAACTTAAATGACCTGAAAACCGACTCATTATCTTCCTTGCAAATTGTCCTTTTGATCTGCCAGTTTATGTTCATTTTGTATTATTTGTATCTTCCCATTGATGTTTAGGACTGCAATTGATTAGTCTCTTATTGGCATATGTACGTTCTGTGTGGATTGCCTCGATATTGTCTTAAGTCACAAGCATATTAAGCAAAGATGGGTGGTGGCTAGTAGTAAAATCCAAGACGCTCGTTTAATCTTATTTGGAACTCGTTAACTGGGTGTGTTTGCTTCCCCGAGTTGATGTTCATTCTGGGACTCGAACCCAGCACCGTTCGCTCCAAACGCCATCCAGCTACTGACGAGTCCTAAATCAGACGACACGTCCGTCCTGGATTCCACTGCTAGCCACTATCCATCTTTTCTATTTTATGGCAGGATATTTTCTGAATTACTAATATTACTCATTATTTATTATCCAGCTGTAAAGTTTATGTACTCGGCATAGGATTATACATTTTCCTAAGTATGAAGACTAATAATAGTACAGCCTGTTTGTTAAAATCAAAGTTGATGATATCAGAGTTTAAAACGGTGACATAAAAGTGGAACACTTCAGCTACCAAGTTACTGTTTCACTGTTTGTATACCATATTCTGTCTTGTTAAAGAAAGTTAGTTACATTATATCATTGTATATTATTGTATTTTTTTATTTATTTTTAGATAATAGAAGCTACTGTAAGCAATCAGGACACCCCGATCAACTTTTCATATGAATCCAATTTTCATACGGAAAAATACGAAATTAGTTAAATTGATCATTTCATCATCATCATCTTCTTCAGTCTATTCGATGTTATGTGTGTGTGTGTGTGGACCAACTGACTTTGTTATTCAATTTGCCTGATCATCTGTGATTTGGATTATTGTAATGGGGTTTTCGTTTTCTTTGTTCTCCTTTTATATATGGTTTTGACCAAATAATAAATAATATTATCCCTTCGTTTATTGGTTTTTTATGGTCTATAAGACAAGAGAGTAATGAAGATCTATCTATTAGTTTGTAGATTGGCGGTGAACTATACACTTAATACTGTATTTGCACTGGTTATTTGAATTGTAGCGTGGCGTTGGGTCGTGGTTGACTGTGATCACCACTACAGGAAGACTACGTGCCAGTTAACCGATAGGATCCCCCGTAGGTCGAATATCAGAAGGCAGTTGATGGCTGTAGTCGAGATGTATTTGTTGGCGATCTCGTGGTATCGAAAGAATACCGAGATCGTGCCGAAGGAGTACAAGTGTGGTTACTGAGCGTGATCGAATCCGTGCAAGGTCACAATCGAAGGAAGAATGTATGTGTTTTGGTACAGTTAAACAAACAAGTACCGTAAAACAATCCCTGGTACAATTGGTTATAATAATAATTGTTTCCATTAAACCAATCGCGTTCTCTTGATAAAAGTAGGTCACTACAGAATCTTCCTGTCGATATTCAGGACTGCGATTGATCTCAGTCTTTCGGCATATGCACATTCTGTACAGATTCTTACGATATTGACGCTAAGTTATAAGCATTTTTAAGTAGAGACGAACAGTGGCTAGCAGTAGAATCCAGAACTGTTCTATTGGATGTACCTGTATCCCAGAGTTGATGTTCACTCCGGGATTCGAACTCAGTACTGTCCGGGAAGATTCAAATAACGAATACAAACGAATTAAGCTTCACCTCATTTCACAAGCCAATAGCTATCCGAACTCAGTAGTTAAGTGGATAACACAAGCTTGAAGCAAAAGGTGTTGGTTTTGAGTCCCGGGTTGGACATCATCTCTGGCTGAAATAGGGTGAAACTGGCATCTTTGATTCTACTCCTAGCCACCACCTATATATACACTTAGATGGTTAAAGTGAATGACTTAACGGTTATAGCAACCAACTCTCAACTATTAGCCCCATAGTCCGAACCGCGTTCTCAGTACATTTATTTACGTAGTCAGATATTGTTAATAACTTTACCTACAATGTAGCTCAAAGCTGAGTACGTACATACTAGTAATCTGGTTTATCAAATAACAGTGGAAGTCGATAATATTTAATGAGATCATAAGATCCGAAAGACTAAAGGTTTACAAAACTCCTATCCAAAAGGTTACAGTCCCATATATACAGCAGAATAACTCAGTAATAAATTGTAAACTTTCCTTATAGTCCTCAACGAGTGTTTTATGTATAGCACTTACTAGTTAGGTTTTACATTTTGTGATGTATTCACTTGATGCTACTGAAGGTCTTGAATTGTTCTCTAACATTAAGACTTGAGCATACAGAAATCAATTGGTCTACATTATCTTGCCACAAAGATAGTCGATATTGGAGTTACTTCTGTTCTGAACCATTTGTTGAGTCTTCTTTGATGATTCTATCCCAACTTTTAGTCTATATACAGAGTGCTGTTAGAGGTATGTGGACGGTTATCACATCCCGATTTCCCAAACGGTAAAAGGGTCCTGGAGGTACACGAAAAAGAGATTGGGTTAGAGGTAGTCTTAATGACCTGAGAGCTAGACCGCAGTGCCTAAGGGACACAACTGCTTGGAGTCGGTCACACAACCTTTTTAAGAGTAATTTTTGTGTTAGCTCCGTACTTGTTGAGACCTTACCGCCGGAGACGGATATCCACGGGATAAGGTGAGGTGTGCATTTTTGGGGTCGACCTTTTCTAATCCCATCCCTCCCTGTGGGAAGGCAGCATCGCTGTCATGCTGGTTGTCTGAAGGGAACACCTTACTACTGTCACACCTCTGTACAGTCAGCAGTACGACTTCGCCTTCGAACCTTGGGTTTGTTGCTTTTAGTCATACCGCTCTTCAGCTGACCTGTCTGGCATGGTAGGACGTTGAGGAAAGACTGTTCCAGCTAGAATAGCTCGATTGGTTCATCACGATTGGCAAGCTTGACCACAACGTCAAGGTAGCAACAGCGGTCGGGTTTAGTCTATATGACGGTTATAAGAGCCTAAGCGATTATTGTATTGGATTAAATACTATTACCTCACGAAAGATAAATATATTTCCGGTATCTACCTTCGTAAGGTATACATGAATTTAAATTTCTAGTTGTGTGTTAATCATATACATAGTCTTGTCCAGGCACGACTGTATTCCAATTCAATATCCCACTAGGAAGTGGTTGAATTCCAAACCACAATCTTAGATCATTGGTAAGCAGGGCAGAAAATCATCTACTTTGTTTTTTTATTCGTCCTGTTACGTGATCAGAATGAATTTATTGAACAACTTATTCTGTTTTTGAACCAGATCAACACAAATCATCTTTTGATCGTCATTTTAAGTTAGCAAATTTACATAAAGAGTGGTAGCATTTGTATTAAGTATTAATCTTTCACAGAGATAAGACCAATTGTTGATTTCTTATACTACACAACTCCCTAAAACCTAAGATTCTTTTGGTGGTGGGTAGTAGTGAGTAGCTACTAAATTTGTTGCCGATTCCTGCCTAATCGTTACACATCGATTCCAATAATTATATTAAAATATCCTCGATCATATTATATTCTTTATGTCTTTGTAAAGTCTAAACTATATCCATAACGAGTAGAATGATTATATATGGTCATAAGGCAAGCCGTCACTTGAAATCCTCAAGGCCAAAGGAGGAGAGGAAGACCAAAGAACATATTGCATTGAGAAATAAAGACAGATATGAGAAGAATGAACAACAATTGGGTATAACTAGAAAGGAAGGCCCAGGACAGAGTGGGTTAGAGAATGCTCCAGTGGGAGTTACAGGCGTAAGTAAGTAATATGTGGTCGAATCATACTAATAAGAATCATCATTGTTTTAATTATGGGCATTCAATGACAAGAACTTCGTCTGCAGCTCTTCCCGAATTAGTGACGATCCCAAGACTGGGGAAAACGAGGAGGGTTGGGCATGGGGTTAACGACCTCATCTCGTAGAAAACTAACTTGCTAAAAAAAACGCTAACCAGTAAGTCATTCAATGAAGAAGGTTTGCAAATGTTGTTGATTTAAGTCGAGTAGTTCAAATCATTATATCATTTTATTTCACTTATATTTAAATAAATGTTATCACTGATAGTAGTCATAGAAAAATAGTTGAATTTTCTTTGTTCATATACTTCACACGTTCAATTATTCAATCTAGTAAACACAAAAAATCAATTATTTACTCATGATACAAATTAACTATAAAGATTGAACCAATCTCTAAGTTTTCGATTGAAATCATGAACCGATTGATGTCAGACTACTATTGAAAACGTGGAAGCACTGGACGGTTTTTTTTCGTCCTACTGTGGGACTCCTCAGCAGTGCGCATCCACAATCCTGCTCGTGGGATTCGAACCCAGGGCCTTCAATCTCGCGCGCGAACGCTTAACCCTACTGGACCACTGAGCCGACATCCAATGGTGTTAAAACCTGGTTTTCAATGCTGGTCTAACGTCAATCGGTTCATGATTTCAATCAAAGGCTTAACAATCTCCACAACCACTAAACTTATAATTACCATGTGCTCACTAGTGACTAGCTTCGTGAGAAAATTCTCGAAGTCCTGGTGAGTCGTGACCAGCGGAGCTAATCCGTGTCGGGTAGAAACAGGTGTCTACCTCAGTACAATGGAAGATGGCCGCGCAACTTCGTGGCTTGGTTGGGGTTAGACATTAACACCATTGGATGCCGTCTCAGTGGTCCAGTAGGTTAAGCGTTCGCGCTCGAGACCGAAGGCCCTGGGTTCGAATCCCACGAGCGGGGTTGTGGATGCGCACTGCTGAGGAGTCCCACAATAGGACGAATCGGCCGTCCAGTGCTTCCAAGTTTTCAGTGATGGTCTAACATCAATCAGTTCATGATTTCAATCAAAAGCTTAACAATCTCCACAACCACTAAACTGACAATCTCTAATTATTCTTCTGTATATTACGTAATAATAATTGTATTTGTTGATTGGTCTTATTTCATATACATTTAACAGTTGATTGAATTCTTATCACTTGTACATTTTCAAGTCTTTTTTTTAGTCTACTGTCGGATAATGTTGTTAACTACAGTTGATTTAATAGTATTCTAAGATTAAGTATTAGTGTATGAGATTGATGAGGAGTTAGATTACACTTATAAAACTGTATATTTAAGTGTGCCTACTAGTAAATGGTAATCCTTAAAGTTTTGTGCGAATCCATGGTCATTAAAATACAATTGTACCGAATGACAGGTGAACAATAGTCACGTAATTTGACCGCAGTTGGATTTAAGCTTAATTGAATAAACGTACTGTAATTATCGTAAGATCAGATGGTTTGAATGCTCCATGAGTCTGTTATCCACTGGTTCACCAGTCAGTGTTAATTTGTGATAAAAATTGATCTTAGAAGTTTTTACATTATACTGGTTATTAATTATGGTAATCATTATCTTGAGGAATTGAAATAATTGTAAATATTTCTATTGGCCTCCAAATGCTGTGGTACGGCCGAGAGTGGGGAGAGTCAGCTCTCCCTCTCGAAATTCTCTCACATGGCCACGTGCATACAACCACTGCCACGAAAGTCCTACTCACTGCCTTCTCGCACTACGGGTGTTGTTTACGAAATCAAGAGGACTAAAAGCGAATGTCCGGTGCTTTAACCTAGTCGATGTATATGAAGGATCCACCTATGGGGGTTGAAAACCCTGATTTAAAATCAATCGTGTACATGAGCTCCAGTATCCTGAAGGAACGAATGGCGTCGGAACCAATTGTTGATCACCGACTACCATGCGACCGCATCTACTGATGTTGCTTCACTACCTTGTGGATTAGACATTTAGGCCAAAGAGTTGGGTTGTGGCTTTCTAAGAAAACCACCTGCTTCTGTTTGGGCACCCAGACAGTATCCTAATTTATGTGGTGCATATCTGTTTGGTGCATCATTGTACCAAAGCTTATGTGTTTAAATAAATCAATAAGAATACTTGTATCTTAGTGACTATACGAAAGAGACTATAAACTATTTGAACTATTTAAAATGAATAAATAATAACACATACATTTTTAGTTGGGGGGGATGATTATTTCTCTTCTTCAGTTTGATTAGCACGTTCAGCTTGTAAATGAATCAATTTCTTATATAATAAAGGCCAAAATTCTGGATGATTTGCATCACGAATTGATTGTTGAATAGTAGTTATATAAGTAGTAGATTCTACATTCAATTTTGTTGCACTTTTTATACGTAGAGCAGGTATATAATTTGATCCATTTGAATTCATATCAGTTTTATCAGAGAATTTTCCTGATGTTGATTGACTTGAATAAATGTGATGTGACTTCTATTTTTTTATGTGTATGTGGGTGTGTGTGTGCGGGGGTGGGGATGCGGGTGGGGAAATGGAATTTACGACAATAAATAGGTAAGTTTGTTACCATAGTGATTAATAATTCTGAACATTTTCTGTAGATAAATAAACATTTCTCTTGTTGTACAATTTGTCAAAATGATATTGGTATAATTTCAATAAAAGTTAAATTTTATCTGTGACTTTACCATTGACATTGCTTCTTATATTCAAATCAGTTTTAACTTTCAAAAACATATCTCTCTCTTTATGAAATCTTTAACTTGATTCTCAATACTTAGCTTTTCTGGTTAATAATTACTAGTTACAATCATTTTAATTCATTTACTGTCTATGTTTTTAATTTAATTCTAACTTGAGCTAACTTACTTACTCCGTTTACCCCTCGTGAAGGAGCATAGGCCGCTCACCAGCATTTTCCATCTAACCCTGTCCTGGTCAATCCTTTCCAGCTCTTCCCAGTTGTTATTCATCCTTTTCAGATCTGTTTTTATTTCCTGACGTAATGTGTTCTTTGGACTTTCACTTTTTCGTTTTTCATCAGGATTCCAAGTTAAGACTTACCTTGTGATGCAGTTTGGTGATTTCTGCAATGTATGTCCTATGCATTTCTATCGTCTTTTTCTAATTTCCTCTTCAGGTGGAATCTGGTTTGTTCTCTCCTACGGTAGGCTATTGGTGATGGTATCCAGCCAATGGATGTTGAGTATCTAGCGTAGACAACTATTTATAAATAATTTCATCTTGATGACGATTGTAGTTCTCTAAGTTTTAGCTCCGTATAGTAGAACTATCTCGACGTTCGTATTGAATATTTTGGCTTTGATGTTTGTTGATAGGCAGTTGTTTTGAGTTCCATATGTTCTTCAATTGTAAGAGTGCGGCCCTTGCTTTGCCAATCCTCGCCTTTCGTCTGCGTCTGATCCTCCTTGATTATCGATGATGCTTCCCAGGTACGTGAAGGATTCCCCATCTTCCAGAGTTTCGCCATTAGGTGTGATTGGGTTAGTAGTCTCCGTGTTGTATTTGAGGTTCTTGTTTTTTCCCTTGTGTATGGTGAGGCCTACTGATGCAGAAACTGCTGCTACACTAGTTGTGTTTATCTGCATTTGTTCGTGTGTATGGGATAGGAGGGCTACGTTCAGCTAACTTGGATTTATACAGACTATTTAGTTTGGAGTCGGCACGATTATCATAACTAATGGTTAGAGATAGATGAAATGACTTAGAATCGGTCATAATGATGGGGATGTATTCACAATTTAAACTTCGGTTTCAAAATTAGGTAATACCGTTTTATTTCACAAATTTATATTCCCTTTTTGAACGACATCGTCTTTGGTTCATCTTTTATTTTACTATTCATACTGTTGCTACTTCTACTACTCTAATATCTTGAAGTGATGATGTGTAATAACTGGAACCGATGCATATGACCTAGGTTCTAATTTACATATAACTGGAATGACGGTTTGAACTTTGTTATACCTTTAATAGTGATGTGAGTTAACAAAGGGGTTTGATGAAACGGCGGCTAACCAATATGTTGAGGCTAATGTCCTCTATATCTGACTCCAATAAATAATATCCCGTAAACTGAGTATTTAAGGTAGGCTTAATCTCCTAGTAGAATTGCGGATTTACTCGAGATTATTGAGAAGCCTGAACACCAGTTATAGAGATAGTTTATTGTTAATGATTAATAAAAATCCACAAGCGTACGGTGAGCAAGCACACGATGAAACAGAGTGAGTGTGTGTGTGTTAAAAATCCATATATATTTTTGAGGGTTAATCGGGTGTGGATAAATTATCGATTATCTGCACATTGAAACCAATAGGGGAGGATAGCTTAAGGGTTAATGTACAGACATGCATTCAATCATACACACCGAAATTAACATAGTGAATTAAGAGTCTGAGTTACAATGAATAGACAAATGATACAGTGGCCAAATGGGCTTGTCACAGGTTCCAACAGCAAATCAATGTATTCACACCCTTGTATCTTTGCATTTATATGGTATCGTTTCTCTTATCTACTCGTTCAGCAGACCCGCATTTTATAAATTCGTATTGTAGATTCTCTAATAATAATAGTATGCTAATCGAAATTACTTTTTGGGCGACCGACAGTCAAGATTGTACTTTAAATCTAGAGTATTACATTGAGCAGTTCACTTAGTGATATAATAAATTTTACCCAGGTAATTGATGCTTCCTAAATACATATTATGTGAGCTTGTGTAATATAGAATGCATCCTAAGTATTTAGTAACTTTGTGGAAGGTGTACTGTTTAGAGTTGTCAACTTTGCTTGAACGTTTGCGTTGACTACAAAAAGGGTGATATTCCTGAGAAAGACGTCACTTATACAAAACACAGATGTACGAATGATGAATATTCTTTTTAATAAGTTATTATCAGGTTCTACAGTGATCAACTCAATTTCATATTCCAATAGTCAGCCAAATTTAGGGCAAAAATATCATTTAAAAGTACACCATATGATTTTATGATTGTTGCCGTAGTAAAATACGATTATAATTTTACATGAAGGTTTGTGGAGACTAGAACTTTCATAGTTCAAATCAATAACTGATCTCAAATAGTTGTTTTAGCCTAGAATATAGCCCTTTATTAGTAGTGCCCATCCACGAACTGCATCACAGTAGATCGAACCTAAGATCGGTCTTAAGTGCGAACGCGTAATGTCCATAGACTGTAGGGTTAGGCAGATAACTCCCTGACACCCGGATTAGTTAAAATCCACTGTTCACAGCTTCTCAGTTTATAATTTGATTTAAAAGTGTTTTGTAATTGCCGCAAGCTTCCGTATACAATAATAATCATGTGCTCACTATCTACATCAGTAGCATATACCATATTAGTTCGTGATTTGATCTATGAACATTATTAATGATGAAATGACTAATGTATACGGTTAGCTTGAATAAATTTGTAGGTCAATTGAAACTTTGGAATTAATAATCAGAATATTCGGTGAGTGAAATAAATAGATTTAGGCAAATAACTATTCATACAATAATAATTATTGCAAATGATTGGTTCACATTAGCTGTATGGTCCGTTTGTAATAACTAGGCTGAATAGAACAGAACTGTTAGCTCTCCCTCTTCAAATGCTCTCACATGGACACTCTTATACAGGAACAACAACACAGGTCCTACTCACTTCTTTCTCGCACCAAGGGTATTGTTTACGGAACTAAAAGGACGAAGAGCGAATGTAAAGTGCTTTGACCGTGGACCGGTGGGTCCACCTAGGGGAGTTGGAAAATCCTCATTCCAAACCAATGATGTACATGGGCTCCAGGATCCCGAAGGAACAAGTCGCGTATGGACCAATTATTGGTCACCGGTTACCATTGGACTACATTTCCTTACGTTGCTCTACTGTCTTATGGATCAAACTTTGAAGTCAAAGGCTTTGGGTATGGCCCCCTAAGAGAACCATGTACTCCTATCTGGGCACCCGGTCAGTATTCAAGCCCACACAAATCGAATGATGAAGTGTGGTGCAATTGATTATTATACATTTATGGAAATATTGAAATGTTTGTACCTAAAGTAGTAGATGCATATCAACTGATTCTGAATTACTCTATTTCCATCATTGAAAACTAACGTATCTTTATTTCATATAGATTTATTACTTGTAAATGGTTGTTTTTTTTATTTGTTAACCCTATAGTGATAACTATCTAATACTTTTAAAACAATAACTATCAGTCAAGTATACAACTAAGGAATGATAGAAGTTGAAATTGGAACGATACGTTGAGTATGAAAATTTTGAAAAAAATTTCTCTCATTTATATTTTTTTAATGTCAGAAGGGGTTTTTGTGGATATTATGGTAATTTCAATGGTTGTGATCATGAGTCAATTGAAGCTACACCATCATGGAAAACCTGGAAACACTAGACGGCCGTTTCGTTCTAATGTAAGACTCTGTAGCAATGCGAATCCACAGTTCCGCCTTGCGAGATTCGGACCGAGGACCTATTACTCTCGCCCACGAGCCAGCATTCAACGGTGTTAATGTCTAGCTTCACTGCTGATGAGTCCTACAATAGGACGAAACGACCATCCAGTGCTTCATGATTTCAACTACTGAAATTGAATTTAGTACCAAAAAATTATGTAAAGAAAAAAAATAATAAAAACTTACAATGATTGACTCTTTTTTAGTTGATTTTTGTTTCATTTGATTGACATGTTTAGTGCTTTAAAGAACAAAATGAAACATAAATGAAGAATAACTGAATGAAAAAGGTATTGACCTATGTATGAACTTATATCCGAACAAAGAATAAGTGAATAGTAACCGCTAGGATCTATTTATGGACTAATATTATACGAATACTCTTATTGTATAACCATTAAGTAACTATATTATATGTATATTCATATTCCTTTTATTATAAGCTTCCTTTTTAACCTATTGACTATTGTTATACGATTTACTATCTCTGAGTTATTCTCAATTTATTAGTAATAGTATTTCAGAATCACAACCAGTTTTTGGCTGGTTTCGTTCGTTCGTATGTAAACTCAGTATGTTTGAAATATATGAATCATATAATGAAGGCTGCTATTTGAGTTTTAGACTGAACTGGCTGAGTTAGGTAAGAAGTTACTATTTCAATAGATCAATCAGAACTCCGAGCTGCTCCTACAGGTTTATGTGTCATTAGTCTGACAGCATAAGTCGATGTCTCTAATTGATGATATTATCTCATGATATATTAATAGGCCACAAGCTATAACAGATTCATATAGAAGAAAATATGAAACCATGACTCGTAGTTCATATGAATAATTTTCATGAGTGTTAAGTTTACTGAACTAAAGTCGTTAATTTCGGATCATTATCATCATTATCACTATCAGTCCAATATATTAAATAATGTAGACATGATTGATTAATCACAAGATTGACGGTCAGTTTAACCAGATGAAAGAAATGATAACGCTTCTAAAAGGAATTGGTTAAAAGTGTTTATTGGATGTGATAATATCAACAAGAACATAAAGTCTAAACTACTCATGGGATGATTAACCTTTCTATAGGTGAGAGATGAAAATTAAGGATGATATCTGCCTTTTTAACCAATAACCAATTACTATTAATAATCAACTTCTAGATAACGTGATAAATCCTTTGAGTATAGAAAGCTTATAAAGAGACTAATTAAATGAAATAGCTGGCTTATAATTACGGACTATAATGGATTTTTATTTGAATGTAAAGTGTCCTATAATTTATCAACAGAGTATTATATCTCTTTATAAAATAATGATTGAGGTATTAATACTAATGGGAAAATAGACTATGTAACTTTTACTAAGTATCTCATGGAACTCTGCTTTCTGAATGAAGAAAAAAAATGCAGTTGTTATCAATAATTAAACTAAAACTAACCTGGTATCTACATTAGGAACTTTATTCACATGATTACTACGACCTGGACCAGTAGGATAGTTATTTACCCATAAATGACGATTCCCAGACATAGTGGTAGTAGTAGTAGTAGTAGTAGCATTTAATGTTGACTTGGTAGATTTTACTTTCATTTCAGACAACTGGGGTTGAAAATTATTTGTTGTTGTTGTGCACGTTGATTTAAGATGTGATTGTTCAGAAAAACTTTCATTGTTTATCTGACTGATATCGGACTTCTCTGAATGCTAAAACCAAATATTGTCTCTAATGAATTTTAGTCGGAAGAGAAATGAAGACTAAAAGAATATTATAGTTAAGATATAAAGCAGCATAGTTTGTTTGATCACTGTTGGATTTCGACACTTCATGGAACAGAAACAGTGAGTCTACACAGAGACGGGCACAATAATTTAGCAAAAATTAATAATTTGTTGTGATAACATTTCATTTGATTTTGCTACACTTCATATGATAAGCAAATGAAGATAAGTGGGGGTTTTGTGGAGATTTTAGAAATTTCACTGGTTGAAATCATGAGTCATTTGAAGCTAGACCACCATGGAAAACCTGGAAGTACTGGACGGTTGTTTCGTCCTAGTATGGACTTCTCAGTAGTGCTCATCTACGATCCCGCCCCCAGCGAGATTCGAACCAACTAGACCACTGAGCCGGCATCTAACGGTGTTAATGTCTAACTTCAACCAAGCCGTCCAGTGCTTCCAGGTTTTCTGTGGTCGTCTAGATTCAAATGACTCATGATTTCAACCAGTGAAATTTCTAAAATCTCCACAAAACCCCTCATGGTAATAATCATCTGCTTACTAGTGACTGACTTCAAGAGATACTCCTGGAGTTATAGTGAGAAGCCGTTACTCGTAGAGTTCAAGTAGGTCGGTTGTGAGACATCAACTCACTGAAGACAATAGTGTACGGTAGCGCATCTTCGTGGATTGGTTGAAGTTAGACATTAACACCATTAGATGACGGCTCATTGGTCTAGTTGGTTAAGCGCTTGGCGCGAGACTGATAGGTCCAGGGTTCGAATCTCTCCGCGGGCGGGATCGTGGATGCGCACTGCTGAGGAGTCCCGCAATGGGACGAAACGACCGTCCAGTGGTTTTGGGTTTCCCATGATGGTCAAGCTCCAACTGACTCATGATTTCAACCAGTGAAATGAAGATAAGTCATTTTGAAAGATAATTTTTGATATTTTCTAGAAGAGCGAATATATTTCCATGTAAAGTTTTATACATACATGTATTTTGTTAATTAACAAAAAAGGAGGTAACAAAAGTATTTGAAATCAGTGATAATTTATCAGGTTAATGATTTATCAGTAAAAAGCGTTTCAATTATACTATAAATATTAAGGTAAATGATTAATAGTCATAATTTTTGGAATTTGTTTGGTTGTAATTTAAAATTGAATGTTGTAAATGACCTAACAGTTCATCCAATTAGATCATTTCAGTTTGCGATCAAGTCGACTGTAGTGTTATAACTATGCATTACTCAGAGTTAAACTAACTGTTGCATAAATTTTAAGCTAAACAAAACATACAAAAGATCAGTGAGCCAGTATGTTAAAAGTCGAAATAAAATACTAACGTACAATATTTTGGAAAATATAGAGAATCAATACATAATCTCCGTGATCGAGGCTGATATCACATTTTAGGTTAGAAAAAGAAGATGAATGGTTTGTTACATTGTAAAATGTTTTAAAAGTGGGTGAGGATCAGATAATTATTTTGTCATACTGGCTTTACACTGATCGTACATTAGTAATTTAGCTCCTGACTAGAAAATTGTATTTTCACAGTACGATATAAGGAGATTTTATATCATGGTTAAAATTAAAAAAATTCTTACATTGTAATTTTTTGTATCCATTTCAACAACTATTGATTTATTGAGTTCTTCTACTGGTCCTTTGTCTTGGTTATGATCTTTTGAACTAGAATTCAATGTACAATCCCGTCTATATTGAAGTATGTAAGCATGCGGATCATCATAATGATAGAATTTGTACTGTTTACCGATTCTTGTTGGTTTTTGGTAAGAGAATCTTTCAGGTTTTCCACATCCTACACCTCCCATAACATTAGGACCAGTTGTTCGGCAAGCGGGTTTAAGACATACCGAATCAAAAGCATTCTGTTCACTCCAGCCACATAAATTTGTTGTAATTGTTCTGTTTACATCTGACTTAGCTGGATTCTTTGATAAGTTATAAAAATAAAGAAATAGCACAGCTTACATGAGGGATACAAAATCTTTAGAGAAAATCAGTCGCATATCACTTCATGAAAATAAACTGATTTGAAACTTATGGAATAATTTGATATGGTCACTTCCACCTGGATCAGGTAGCGGTTATATCAAGTGAAGCGATAATAGAATTTTACCGACTGAACCATTCTACTAAGGGATCAAAACTTTGTGGAATTCAGTTTCAGTCAGTCAGTCAGTAACAACGCAGAACTTCGTACGTACGTACATCAGTTCGAGTTGTCACACCACATTAGCACAGAGATGCTGTGGTCGATTCAAATCCCGTAGTGGTAGAGGTAATAAGAGTTTAAGCAGTAATCGGGAAGATTAGTGTTTGGAGATGTTATTTAAAGAGTATAATACAGTGAAACAAATTTGGGAAGAGAAAAAAAAGACAAGGAGGAATAAGGAGACCAAAATTTGGGAGAACACAAAGAGTGTATGCACCTGCGTCACTGCAAACGATTTTGAGCCATGTCATTCAGGGTCTCTAACCATCGGTCGCTATCGTCTCGCGGTCCCCAACAAGGTAGTCTACACCTACCAACATGGGTCAGTCCACTTGTCAGTGACTTCATGAACTTGTGCCATGTTTTGGTCCGGATCAGTTATCGTTAAAAATAGTAGAGACAAACTATTTTAATAATTAATAATTTGTGTCGAAGAACCATTGGAATTGATAAATACTAACTATTTTTATTATGAAATAAATAAAAAGCTATTGCATGTGTGGACTGCTTGGTTGAAAGCCGCAATTGTAAATTAGTCCATGGTTAGAAACTTTGAGTGAGATGGGATTGAATTAATTGCATTGTAGATGTGTTCACTTCAAATCTTACTTTAGATAACAAGTTTTTCATTCTTTGACTTTACCCGTTAATTTCAAATTATATTATGTAAGTTTAGTCATGGCATTAAGATTATCGTTTCGATTTCTTCGCCATCCATGTTTTGAGTTTAACCCACGTATATATATTTAAAGTCTTAAGCTATTTGTTACTGTCTGGAAAGTAACCAAACTAGATTATACATAAAGTACAGAAGTCTAAATGAATTTTAAGTGTTTTATAGTTGACTGATATCATATAAAGGATCATTCCAAATCCGGACAGCAATAAGATGTCGAATCGTACAGTCAAAACGACATCTTCAAATTAATGAATTAAAAAATAAGTGGCCATGCTTTAGAATTAAATGGACTTGCCTAACCTTACTCCATGATGGACCTAACTTTGAAATATGCATTTTGCACGAACCTATACGAATACTGTTTGTATTAATTTTGAGAGATTTCGTCTTTGCAACGAGTGAAAAGATGTAAACTTATAAATCTCTGGATAGATGAGTTAAGCCGTAATAAATAACTAGCTCTAAATAATAAATAGTTAATATAATGGAAATAACTAAACACTAAATTTGAAAAAACGAGACTTAGTTGAAATTAAGTTGAACATACTGTGCTGTGTCCTGCGTTTCTTTTATTCGACTCTGGTTCCAACTTCATTCAAGGTTGAATTTTAACTTGTAACAGGTTTAGGAAAAAATACTACAGGGAAAAGTTTCTAGGGGATTTGCTTTGGAAGTGCGAATGAATTAAAATTCAAAAGGAATCACTATCCATTGAATAATCATGGTTAGTTGGTAGAAAAACGCAGGAACTTCAACAGATATGCTCTCATGAAGATGACACACATGTATATATATGTATATATGATAAAGAGTCAAAGTGCAATCAGAACATGTGTTGTACACGTGTACACAACTTTCTTTCTCGAAAACACAGAGAGCGCTCACAATGAACTTACACTTAATTACAGAACCAACAGACAATAACTAGAGATAGAACAGGCCTCAAACTAAGATGGTCTAAGAAGAGAAACTTAAAGCAAACACTTCGACACGCTACTGGATACACTTTTAAACACACGCGTTTTTCGTAACTCAGATACACAACGAAATACCCTTCAAATTAACGAAGGACGAATTAAACAAACAATAGAACATACAACTTCATAATGACAAATCTAATTAAGGCTAGAGAGGCAATAAGGAAAATACTACAAGCTGATTTTGATCGTTGTAAAAGATAAGCTTGTAGTGATCCACTTTTTGTGACCTGCGCTGAACAGTTACTGTTTCAGTTTGGGGAGGATAAAAGGTCTGTAGCCTGTGTTAATCCTGACAACGGAGGTCAACTTTCGTTTGAAAGTGCCGACAGGTGGGGTTCTAATAACGTTTTGGGGTGACGAATCCTTTTCATTGATGATTATATGGGGAACTCGTTAGTCAGCTGACAATTGGTTTGTTCTAAACCTGTAAACTTTTCTCAGAGTGTTCTCGTGAATTGTTTATTTTGGAAGACAGGAAAGATGAGGGCATATCACATGTTTATTCACCATTCGATAATTGGAAAACTATGATCTGGTTCTTGTATATGAGAAGAGAGATATATTTAGTTTTTCCTGTCGGTCATCATACATTAGCTCTGGGAATCCGGAAAACACTGAGCTACACTTCTTTGAACCTTTTCCGACAGCTTTTTGTCTCTTTTCAGGTAGGAGCTAGCCGCTTGTATGCAGTACTGAAGTTTAGGATTAACAAACACTGTAGGTTTTTAACACCGAAACAGTTACTGCTCTACTCATAGAATTTGTGGCCCCAAAGCCTTTTTCATCTATGGCACAGCAATATATAGTAGTTTTTATGTCTCGGCTAACGATGAATTTTAGGTCGTTGTGTGTCTGAACAAAATGTAGCTAATTGTTATCCTTCTTGTATATATCTGCATCTTGGTGACCAATATGCATCATAATGCAATTGAAAGCATTTGTCGGCAACCGTCAAACCTAGACCATTAAGATCATTTCTCCCGGTTATTTTAGAGCTCCGAGCTATCACCTTCTCTTTTCATCGCTTTACATAGCTTGATATGGTCAATATATATCAAGACCGGTAATAATAAGAGACGAAGATGGTCAGTTACATACTGTAGGAGCAACACTAGCCCCAAAAGTGTGCCTTAAGACACTTCATTAAGCACAGTTTCCCAGCTAGCCAACCTAGAGTGCACTCATGCCCTCTTGTCAACATCCAACTAAGAAGTTCTTTATTCACATAAAAAGGCTTCCAATTCTGACGTCACTTAAACTAGATGACAGATGGTTGTGTGAAACTTTGCAGAAAGCCTTACTGAAGTCAGAGATTGTTACATCATTAGGTAGACTGTGATCTTTAAAAATGCGCTGACGTTCACGGGATACTCTTAAGTTTGTGAGACATGGGTATTTTATCCTAATGCCGTTCTGCCTTTCAAAAAGAATCTAGTTTGCGTTGAGATACTAAAATAACTGCTTCCGAATAATTTTTTCTTAAATTTTAACAATTATTCTGATTGGACCTACAAGTTTTCAGGTTTGAGTCGTGCACCTGTATTTAAGATAGTACTTACTATGGCATCCTTCTAGTGTTTTGACTATTTACCTTGAATCACAATGCGTTCATTTGTGTCAATCTAGTTCTATTTACCGTTAATTGTACTATTTCGGGAATCCCTAGTTATTATAATAATTAGAATACTTCTAATAATCGTGTTGGTATCATGATGGAGCCAGTGTTTGAACAGTTGAAGATACATTCAAATTCCAAAGTTTTAAAATCTAGGGTATGACTAGGTAAGATGTTGAGGATGGTACGATGCTGTCGCGTTTTCTCACATTTATTTGTAAAGGACGATGATAACCTAATAAAAGCCTTAACATTTCCAGATACGCCTATTTCACTCCCCTTCGGAACTCTCAAAAAACCATTACCAAACCATGCGAAGTATACTAGTTTCGAAAGCCATAAAGGAATTGCTTTTCACAATTTTATTATTGACACTGGAAGTATCGAGCCCACCATGTCACTTGGAACGCTCATTTGGTTCCACCTGCTTTAAAGTGCATTGTTCAGGAATTCTTTACAAGCTCGTTATTTTAACGACTTCTAATCATCATAACTATCTCAAATGTACTCTCCCAGGTGGGAAGTCTCCTTCCGAAGCTAAGTTTGGAGAAAGTATTCGGACTATTTTCAACGCTGTGCTGCCACCTAAAATAGTTGATGACACAGAATGAATCCGAATATCCGAAGTTTCTATGCGAGAGATAAAATGCTCATCAAGTCATACCTCAGGATGTACTGATGTGAATCAGGATCAATCTTAGAAAGATTGGTGTGAGCTTTCGGGACATTTATCAGACACACGAATCCAGTCCATAAGGACAAAAGAATGATGTAAACTAGAGATAGACATGTGAATCTGTCATTAGATTTAATCACAGATACAACAATAACAGTTTCTTTAGAGAATCCTGGAAAGAACAAGAGAATAAAGAATTGAACAAGAAAGACAGCAAAAAGAATGTAACGCTGCCTCAAACCATTTGTCAAGCTACAAATCCACCCCAGCAGAATATCAACATGAAATACTACAATAGGACAATGGCGAAAATTGCCTACTTGTGGATTGTCCAAGTTATAATGATGCTATAACCAATACCAATAAACATGAATATCCATTTTTGATTCTTACCTAATAATCACTTCGCCTGCTTCTCCCGTCTCCTGCTTCACAACTGTGAAGTTTCGCACATTCGTGTGCCATGAGTTGTATATCGTATTCTGACATAATCAAGTAGAGGATGCAATACAACCAATCATGATATTGGTTAAAATTGAAGATATGAGTAATTGGATGTTCAGATTTAGTGATTTTATGATATTGTGTCTTGTGTATGACTTAAATATATTTGATTATATTCTACATTTGAGTGATGATGGACTTCACTGAAAAATTTTAATTTAAGTTTAAATTTATGTTTAATCACTCTTCTGTGTTCAACAGCTGGCAGTAATATTTAACGTCAACTTAATTAAAGTGATTTTATTCCGATCACCGTCTAGCCTCAGTAAGAATTGAAGTCAGTTCACACTGCCAATTAGTGATCGGCGTTTGGATGTTAGAGGTTCAGGAATTGATATCTGAATAACGTCCACTCTTTTCAATGCATATTGACAGTTATTAAGATGTCTCTAATGGTACTAGTTTGTAACTTATACAGCGAATGATCGTAAACATTTTATAAACGCACCTGAATAGTCTATGCGAATAATAGACAAAATGATGTGTTCAGACTAACGATAACACATAACTTGTAGGAGTATTTCGATGACAGGAACAGGTAACTCAGATAATCAAGCAGGCCGCCAGCATGGGATTTCGAATATCAGGAGTCATTGACATCTATCTTCCATAGAAACGTCAATATAACTTAATATGACACATGAAAAATCTGAAAGTAGTAAAGGTCAGTCCTTGAAATGAAATCTTCATTTATGTGCAGAAATAAGGCATTAAATTTACCAAAAGTGCTAAAACTGCGACGTGGCAGTATAGTATAAAGATGAGTTTAAAGCAAGCGAGACGAATTCCCAGCTATATTCTAGGCGATCAGAAAACAACGAATGCGAACAGACAGAATATGCAAAAATATATCACTGTCATGACTTTTGTTCTTGTCAGTTATCCCGTGACAAAATCACCAGGGCCTAAAGAGATTTCACACATGAAATCATTCTTCTACAGGTTGCCGTGTCTGTAAGTTATAAAAATAACAACATGCATACTCGTTTTTATGGTTGTAGATTATCTGTCGTCTCGAACATTCATAAGAACCCAAATAGATCATTAAGTCATCACATTGTTCCTAGTTAGGTTTAAGTAGTTATGGTAGGGGCAAACGATCCGTGCTTTCGTCATGAACTGATACTGGCTATAATGAGAGGATGCTCTGCAGCTGAGTGAATTTCATGCAAAAATCCAAAAGGCATTGTCTGACTAGGTTGTCCCTGAAATCTGATGTCATTAGACTAAAGTTTGTTTCAGGATTAAGTGTATAGACTCAGTATTTAAAAAAAGTGTAGATTCACCTGTCATATACGACATACGGATACCGAAATGAGCTTGTGATATGTTTAACACTGTCATTCTACCCTATAACGACAAAAATCATCCTTTCGTTATGATTCTAAGTGTTTACAAGAGTTTACACAGGCATTTTTAGTGTTCACTAAACAACTTATTGGAATTTTGGCGGGACTATAATTTATGGACGAACCATTCAGATATAAGATAACGCGTCACGAATTTTGGTGCTAAATTCATCCATACATTTGGATAAATAGAGTTTTGACATTATAGCCGATGTCAGTTCGTGATGAAAATTCTAAATCTAATTTTTAACCCTGACCATCAACTCTAACTGTTTTATAACCCTCATTTAGTCCTAATCAGTAGGTCTCCACCCTAAGGATCACTTCCGCGTCCCTCAAAGGTTGTCCATAAATTATAGTTTCACCGGAGTTTCATTCAGAAACCTAAAACAATTGTGTTCTTAATCCTGGTTATGCCATTACCGCACATTTATCGAATGCTTGAAAATCCTTAAATAATCTCATATATGA